TGGACAACGCTAAACTGACTGAGAATTTGACGACGATGAAGCTGACCTTGCAGTGGAGGAGGATGAGATAGAGGCTGGCGAAGAGTCTGCCGACCTTGCCGTGGAGGAGGAGGTAACGTGTGGCGAGGAGACCCAGCCTGAACCATTCCTGGCGTGTCGTACTGGTAACGACTACGTAGACAATCTGATTTGCAACAGCGGCCTTCCCATTATCCGTGAGAGAGAGGTCGTACTAGCTTATAAAGAGAGTCAAGAACTTGGCCTCTTTTCTCGTTTTTACACGTGATTTTTGGAACTTTTTGCGAAGCTGGACTAAAGAAAAACTACGTAAAAAGGGAAAGAAATTATGTCTTCCGTCGAAATGGATGCGTTGATTTTTGGCCGGGAAATGCCATAAGTATCTCTGCATTCATTGATCTAGCTGATTTTTGGTCGACAAAGCTTTTCCTCGGACAGAACGATTTTGTGTCAACGATGTCTAGGAATCGCTACCAAAGCATCCGTTGAAGCCTGCCGACTGATAGTGTGTCTGTTGATAGAAGGGCTGAGGATCCTTTATGGCATATCAGGCTGCTCATGGCCGAGATGCAGAAGAAGTTTGCCGCGACTGCTGTACCTGTTAGTGCTATCAGCCTCCATGAAAAAACTGTAAGGACGAAAGCAGGAATAGCAGCCAAATCGTACTTGGCCTCGAAGCCGGACAAGTGTGGCGTGCGATTTTACGGCGTAGTTGGTTGAGCGTCTCTACTTCTACTCAATTTGGGACAGCGGTTCGGACAACAGGCTAACCGCTTCTCCAGTCGAGCGCTACATTCGTGTTTTTCCTGGTCTCCAGACACCGCTATTTAGAAATTTTAGTGGCAACGACATATACGTGAAGAAATATTTTGCAAGCGCGCTTTGGGTTGCTATGTGCGGCCACACCACGAAGTCCCACCAAGATCCCACCGCCCGCCGCCTGCTGGTTTGTACTAATTTTTACACCTGGTATACTTTGGCGAAGGCGTTATTGGCGTTTACCTACGGTGAATTGTACATGCTGGGCAACAATTGCTCCGCTGCATCCGGTATTTTATACTACATCTACTAAAGTAAAAGATAATTCTAAATGAGCTTTGAATAAACATAATAATATTATTGTGTAATAAAGGTCATTCATCACTCAACGCCATTATTAGATATACACGTTTTTTAGCGTGTGACGGCCAACCTTATATCCCATCGCGCAGCGTATCTCGGGGACACTTAACATTTGTTCCACCGAGATTTTGCATCGAAACGATAGGACGGTAGCAGTTGCTTATTACAAACGTTCCAGACAATGGCATTCACAATTCAAGGTATAATACGCACTGTCAAAGTACTGTATTACTGTACTAATAGCAGGAGCAGCAATCGTGAGGCATGATCTAAAATACATGTACATGTATTTTAATATAATGCAGGCTATTATAATACTAACGCTACTATATCTTTTTTTATCACTGCTCACTATAAACCATCTGCTCTCAGTAACAAGAGTCGTTCTCGATTTTGCATCAAAACGATAGGACGGTAGCTGTACAAGCAGATTACAAGGTTCAGTCGGTCTTGGTGCAAGGGCGGAATTGGGGTCTTTAAATCCGCCCGAACGATCGTTTGCTATCCTAGCAGATGTGTTGTTGTGGGAGCTTCTTAACTACACGAGTAGGTAGAGTTCACGTGGGGTTCGAGCACTATAGTCATCACGATACTTCGGGTCGCAGCCTGGCGCTATTACATAATCCTCCCATGAAGCGTTGGAAATCGTAAAATTCACGTAGCAGCTGTGCCAGTGCATGACGTGCTTGATGTCACGGTGACGCTCCGATGTGTTCTTACCAACGACTCTTCAGCAATCGGTCAGAAAAGGAAGTCTCATGAGGCATCCATTATTACGCAGAATGATCGACCTAAAACGTACATAAGTGGGACAACATTGCCCGTAATTTCTACGTCGGCTTGCATTCCTGGCCAGAAGAATTACACCATCAGTTTCTTCCGAATCTGACAAATACCCGTGTGAGCTGACGCAGTTCCTTCATGCGCTGCTTTGCGGTCCATACGCATGCGACAGGACTGTGAAATATTTTATTAGTGTTTTTTTGAGCAGAAAAAATATTTATTTTCCTGAAAAAACGTCGAAACAGCATTGTTTTTAGTCAATCAAAAACCCATCATACGGGAAATAATAGAATAGCGAGTCAACACTTAGCTGTAGGAAAACATCTGAATGGGCGAAGCGGACACGGAGACTCGTCACCTGATGGGTGAATGCGCTTCGTACGGGAAGTCAGTGTATAAATCAAACATGGCCAAACACCGCAAAGTTTGCGAGACGAAGAAGTTGTCCGAGACGCGCAAGGTATCAAACGCGAGTCATACCTAGGATATATTCTTAGCAAGCGGTTTCAGCAGCGTTTATATGACCGTTTTCGCCATGATGGTACGCTTATATTTTATGGTATTATTGTTATTACTATTATTATTTTCATTAATTCGATAATTTATCTAGTTTGGTATATTTTAATGTAAATAATGTAGTCTCCAGAGAGAAGATTGTAAAACTGAGCGACATGCCTCTGGATGTTGAGCCTATGAGGGAAAAAAAGATGGGAGGCGGAACCAAGCTCGATCCTAGCTCACGGCATTAGTAAAGACCCGAGGCTATTTGCGCTTAGTCTAAAGAGTTTTTTGTGAGCGATGCAATAAAACCTCTTCTCCCCTGGTCCCTCAATGGCTTCATGGCTTCAGTTCTCATAGGCAGTCATGCTCGAGCTTAAACCGAGAAGATATCGTCAGCTGCGTACAAGTTTAGAAGCTTCTCTTTGACCGAGATAAACAGTTTGAAGAGCGAAACGACAGCGGCATTCAACCGTTTGAAGGTCACAATTCAGTGCAGATACGAAAGACCGTTTGGAGGATGTTATTGGCTTAATCCTTTCACTGTCAGGAAAGTCAGATTCTTTTGGAGGTCCACGGTGGACCTATAAATCAGCTCTTGGATCTTTTCTAATCGCCATAACAAACTGGCGGGCATACCTACCCCATGTGAGGGACGCTTACAGGTCTAGCGAGGGCCGGCAAGAGACCGTTTCCAAAATAATACCGTAAATCCCACGACAACAGGGAAACCCAGCTGAGCTAATCGCTGGCTGTGGCACGAAAATGGAGTTTGCCAGTAACCGCAAGCTAACCGTCATTCTACAAACATCGCGTCAAGTCTGACGTGTATATCGGAGCTTTTAAACGCCATGGACAACGCTAAACTGACTGAGAATTTGACGACGATGAAGCTGACCTTGCAGTGGAGGAGGATGAGATAGAGGCTGGCGAAGAGTCTGCCGACCTTGCCGTGGAGGAGGAGGTAACGTGTGGCGAGGAGACCCAGCCTGAACCATTCCTGGCGTGTCGTACTGGTAGCGACTACGTAGACAATCTGATTCGCAACAGCGGCCTTCCCATTATCCGTGAGAGAGAGGTCGTACTAGCTTATAAAGAGAGTCAAGAACTTGGCCTCTTTTCTCGTTTTTACACGTGATTTTTGGAACTTTTTGCGAAGCTGGACTAACGAAAAACTACGTAAAAAGGGAAAGAAATTATGTCTTCCGTCGAAATGGATGCGTTGTTTTTTGGCCGGGAAATGCCATAAGTATCTCTGCATTCATTGATCTAGCTGATTTTTGGTCGACAAAGCTGTTCCTCGGACAGAACGATTTTGTGTCAACGATGTCTAGGAATCGCTACCAAAGCATCCGTTGAAGCCTGCCGACTGATAGTGTGTCTGTTGATAGAAGGGCTGAGGATCCTTTATGGCATATCAGGCTGCTCATGGCCGAGATGCAGAAGAAGTTTGCCGCGACTGCTGTACCTGTTAGTGCTATCAGCCTCCATGAAAAAACTGTAAGGACGAAAGCAGGAATAGCAGCCAAATCGTACTTGGCCTCGAAGCCGGACAAGTGTGGCGTGCGATTTTACGGCGTAGTTGGTTGAGCGTCTCTACTTCTACTCAATTTGGGACAATGGTTCGGACAACAGGCTAACCGCTTCTCCAGTCGAGCGCTACATTCGTGTTTTTCCTGGTCTCCAGACACCGCTATTTAGAAATTTTAGTGGCAACGACATATACGTGAAGAAATATTTTGCAAGCGCGCTTTGGGTTGCTATGTGCGGCCACACCACGAAGTCCCACCAAGATCCCACCGCCCGCCGCCTGCTGGTTTGTACTAATTTTTACACCTGGTATACTTTGGCGAAGGCGTTATTGGCGTTTACCTACGGTGAATTGTACATGCTGGGCAACAATTGCTCCGCTGCATCCGGTATTTTATACTACATCTACTAAAGTAAAATATAATTCTAAATGAGCTTTGAATAAACATAATAATATTATTGTGTAATAAAGGTCATTCATCACTAAACGCCATTATTAGATATACACGTTTTTTTAGCGTGTGACGGCCAACCTTATATCCCATCGCGCAACGTATCTCGGGGACACTTAACATTTGCTCCACCGAGATTTTGCATCGAAACGATAGGACGGTAGCAGTTGCTTATTACAAACGTTCCAGACAATGGCGTTCACAATTCAAGTATCAATACGCACTGTCAAAGTACTGTATTCCTGTATGTACTAATAGCAGGAGCAGCAATCGTGAGGCATGATCTAAAATACATGCACATGTATTTTAATAAAATGCAGGCTATTATAATACTAACGTTGTATTTTAATAAAATGCAGGCTATTACAGTATAATACTAACGCTACTATATCTTTTTTTCATCACTGCTCACTATGGACCATCTGCTCTCACTAACAATAGTCGTTCTTTGGTGGAGGCACAGATTGATTTGCGTCAAGGATTTGGGGTTGAGGAAGCATGCTTAGCCTACAGGTGCCGATGTCGCTCCTTTCCATTAACACTTGGACCCTACGGTCAGTTTGGACTGCGAGAGCGAAGTCTCATTTGCGCTGAAGAATGGCAGCAATACGTCGCTCTCAGTGTTTCGCGGCGTTGGGGTTGGCACTGCTTGCCACCCCGAATTTCGTCCATGGCGAGTGCGCGTCGGGGTCCTCAACATTGACAACAGAGGGCTGTTCGGGGTGTGGCATTTACGATGTGTGTCTCGGATTCACGTCCGAGAACGAGTGTTCAGGCTCAGGCTGTGAAACGGATGGGGACTGCACATACCAGTGCATGGCCATAGATGGTAACCTTACCGTGGAGGTGCTGTTGATTGAGTTTGGTGGGTTTAAAAGCGCCCAGGAAACGGCAATGGGGGGCTACAGCGCTGCAGATTTGGCCAGCTACCCGGACTTCACAGATACGTGGCCCTCAGCTAGCAATGACGACGTCGCTGCCATCGGAACGATCGAGGTATCCGATGCAGTTGAAACCTTGTAAGTTGATATCACAGATCACCGTTGAGCTACGTAGCTGGAAACAATTCTCATGTTCTTGCGTCGATTTGTGCAGCATCGTGTCGGGAGGAAACTCTGATGTCAACTATCCACAAGGAAAGGTGTCGAGTGTGACCATAATGTCGGACTTTATTTCGTCGGCGACAGCAGTGACGCGCGTCGTACTACAGAATATTGGACTGTCGGACCAAGCCAACGATCTCCCAGGCTTTCTACCGTCGACAGTGAAAAATCTCGAACTGACCAACACGCTACTAGCGAAATTTCCGGCGAATCTGGCAAAAATTGCAGCACTGGAACAGCTGTAAGTGTCATTCCCCTTCTTGTGAGAGATGACGGACCTCTAACTTTTAATTGTTCGGTGGATCAGGCTTCTGGACTTCAACTACATCACGACTGTGGATACCTTGGACGTGATCGATTCCATTACCACGTTGTATGTGCTAGATACCGTTGAAGAGTGTATTGCTGTCCATATTAACCTTATATTTTCGATAACATACACAGGAGTCTAGAGCGCAACAGTATTAAAACCTTCACCGGCGTCTTCACCAACCTTGAATACCTGTACGCGGTCCTACTGTTTGAAAGAAATCTGATATTTCAACAAACTAACCGACTGTTTCGCTGCCCAACATGTAGATTTCTTGGAGAGAACAACTTGACCAGTATCCCCACTTCCATCTACAAGCATTTCTATCTGAAGACACTGTACGTGGACAGTTGTGTATTTAGTGCTCTGATCTCCTTCTAAACTTTATCAATGACAGAAACATGACAGGAAATCCTTTCAAGGTTCGAGAATTCACTCGTGACCAGGCTGATTTCTTGAACAATCTGGAGACGTTGTATCTCTCCGCTTCTGATTTTACTGTGGGACTTGAGTGCGACGATAGCGAACAAGTGGCTATCCACGACGTCACGGTGTGTCTTGGCTCTGGCATCACTGCTTCTTCCACAGATACCAGTGCCGATACAACCAGCACTACAGTGACGGACACGAACAATGACAGCAGAACTACGTCCAATGATTCGGATACGAAAGTGTCCAGCAGCTCCGAGTCTTCTTCGTCATCGACCGGTCTGATCGTGGGGATAGTTTGTGGAGTGTTCGTCTTAATATTCGGAGTGTTTCTCTTCGTCTTCTACCGTCGAAAGCGGAGGAACGCTGCAAGGCATAAGCTGGACGACCCCTTCGGGTTTACCGGCACACGTTTACCGTCGATCGACAGCGACCTTGTCCTACAGCAATCGTACGGTGGTCTGAGGACTTCAGCGGTCTTCGGTATGGATATCCCGATGACATCTACCGAGTTCTCGATGGCCAATCGGACAGGGGGAGGTAACGAGGAGGACAGTATGGGAATCCCTACGTCTGTGGATGGTAGTATGGGTATTCCCACATCGAACCAAGGCTCTTCTGCGTATCCTTCCTCAATGCCAACAGAGGAGGCAGAGGCTAGGAACCCGAATAGGTTCATGTCGATCTGGAACGATCCTGATCTTCTGTCGTTACAAGTGCGTGCAGCTGATGTAAAGGACCTCAAACAACTCGGAGGTGGTGCGTTCGCTATTGTTTGGCTGGTGAACTATCGAGATTCACAGCTGTTAGCGTCAAAGCGACTTCGACCGGACAGACGGACCAAGAAACACACAGCAATGTTCATCGAAGAGATTAAGCTTATTGCCCAATTTGATCACCCGAGTCTTGTCAATTTCGTCGGCGCAGCATGGACGATCGAGAGCGATCTGCAGATGCTGCTCGAGTATATGGACGGAGGCGATCTCCGACGTTACTTGGCAGGTTCTCAGACTCCTGTGGGCTGGACAAGGAGGAAGTTTGATATCGCTATCGGAGTCGTTGAGGCATTAGTGTATCTACATTCGTTCGAGCCTCCGTTAGTTCATCGCGACTTAAAGTCGAAAAATGTGCTTCTTTCGTCGGATTTTAAGGCCAAGCTGAGCGATTTCGGCGCTTCACGATTCCGATCTGTGGAGAATACCATGACCGGTGGTGTAGGGACTGGTCGATGGCTGGCTCCCGAGGTGATTCGAGGTGATACGGACTACGGTTCGGCTGCAGATATCTACAGCTTCGGCGCACTCCTCACTGAATTGGACACCAACAAGATCCCGTACAGCAACGCACGCGGGTCGAATGGCAAGATCCTGTCGGATATGACGATTCTTCACCGTGTAGCAACAGGAAAGTTGCACCCCGAGGTGGGGTCGGATTGTCTACCAGCTCTGAAAGACCTGGTGGAACGGTGTCTTGTTGCAGATCCGACCAAGCGACCAGCGGCGTCGATCATTGCATATGAGTTGCGACTGATTAAGAAGGACATGGCAGCAGTATTCGCGTCACAGTCAGCCGACTTGAGCCTTAGTGAGCTCAGTTGACAGTATCTATGTAAAATCTGTAATCCACACGGTCCAATCTTGTCTGTAAAAGACTTTTACTAAAAGTGGAAAGGATTCGTTGACTTTTCGCCTGGAGACCAGTGGCCGGAGTCAGACTCTGACCAGTGGTCAGTGACCACCGCTTTCAAGAAATGTGGCGTCACGCCTTGACACGCCCACTGGTGTGTCAACGGACAACGAACATATGCGTATCTTTTGGTCACTGGATTCACGGCGGTTGTATCAGCAAATGCTGAAGCAAATAACACTTAAACTTTAAGTGTTATTTAAGTTAAAGGCTCGGGCTTCTGCAAGTTGCAGCACACGCCTTCAAGAGCCACACTCTTCGGTCGCTGTCAGTTGAATTGACTCAGTTCCGGTCCGAAACTTTTCGGAACCTGGTTGCTTGCATCCACAGTGGATGCAGTACATGTAAGATTTGCAAAACAAAGCTACAGTAAAACAGCATACAGCAGTAAGGTAAAATGCTCTGCTAAGCCGGAAAGGTACTGTAGCAATGTACAGTGGGCTTCAACTACAAAGACGTTAGCTACGACGTAACGGTTTGTAAAATGATCCTACAGCAGTAATAATTGTGTACCTCAGATCATTTCACTACCAACAAACGAATCCTTTGCGGCATTTTAATGCATATATCAACAGTTATAACAGCTCTACATGTAGTGCCACTCCGTAGACTACGACATTGTGACGCACTGCTACATTTACTGGACGGATACATGTCAGCTCGAACGACTGACATAAACAACCTAAATCTCAATAAAATAGGGCGAGAGCCTTACAATTGAGGGATGCGGTTAGGCTGAGCAAGGCATCTCCGCAATAAATCAAGTGCTGGTGCAACACTAGCAATGTGTAGTTGAACTACTACTGTAGTGTAGCTCAATGGCACCGCCACCTGCTCGGTACATGTACATACATATATGTGAATGCTTTCCGCCAACAACTTGCAATTTGCAGCTCATTCATTCTAATGAGAAGCTATTTCCTCTTTGCAAAGCATAAGACTCTGAAAGAAAGAAATGCTTCATAACTGTAGCACTGAGTCAATACACCGCGCTGATTGAAATTTTTGTTTCAAAATAGAATACTGTATACAGTATACATGCACAGGCACCAAGCAGCACGTCCATCTGTTGCTAGTGTTCCTGGAGTTAGTGGTGGAGGATATAACGTTGGTGGCTTTAATTTTGGAGGAGTTACACCAGGGCAAGGTGGATTTGGCCTGCCTCGTGTTGGCTTTGGCGCGTTGCCAGTGAAAATGGACAATGTACCTAAAATGAAAGGAAGTTTTGATCTGTATGCAGTGCGTTTTTGACTCGGCTGAATTGTTGGAGTGTGGTTGACGGTAGTTTCGATCCGAATGATCCAGTCGAACAGATTAACTTCGCTGCCAGGGATAACATCGCCCGTGAAGCTATTTTGTCTGGTGTTCCAGCTCAAGATGCAGAGATGATTTGTCAAGAGGAGACTGCTCAAGCGATGTGGAATTCATTTGTGGATAAACAAACTAAACGCGAATATTCCAACAACATTTTTGCAAGAGCAGAGTTTTATTCGCATGTGTATACAGCGGATAAGGGAATGGATCAATGGTTACGCGAGATGGAGTCAATGCGACGCCAATTGCTACACTATGGTAGACGTGTGACGGATGAAGACTATGCTGAGACTCTTCTTGGTCATGTGGCACGAACACATCGTGATGTTGTTCGTCAATTCTCTAAACACTATGTGGTTCGAGGTGATGGTGCATCAGTCCGACCTGTACCTACTGCGACTCAGGTGATTAACGCCTTACGCGCTGAGTCAGCTCTGGATGAGAAGATTGGCTCGAAGGAGCAGTTGCCTGCTGGAATTGCTGCATGTGGACGCGAGTCTACACAACACAAAGAGAAGAAGCAAAATTCAGGTAAAGGCAAGCGCAAAAGAAATTTTCGCGGTAAAAAGCAGAAGGATGCTAAACAAGTTGGCAAGAAAACTGGAAAGCAAGAGACGCGTACCTGTTTTCACTGTGGAGAAGTTGGTCACCTACGTCCAAACTGTCCGAATCGTGATGAAGATTCATCTGATGATCGAGCAGCTGGAATTCCGTCTGAAGGATCGGAGCGCAAACGTTGGCAAAACCGGTCTGGTGGTGACTGTAAAAGTAAGAAGAAGGAGAAGAAGATTAGTGCTGTTGGATGTATTTCTCGCGAGTCATTGATGGTTGCTTCGGTGTCGAATGCAGCAAGTGATGACATAGAGTGGGCTTTGGATTCTGCGAGTAATGTACATGTGTGTAACCAACTGGAGTTGCTGTCTCAATTGCAGCAAGACTCCAAGCACGTCTTTCAGGGCTATGATGGTAATATTACTGATAACGAGAGAATTGGTAATGTGAACATCAAGGTGATGAACAACAACCAGCCGCATCAAGAAGTATCACTGCAACTGGAGAACGTTCTGTTGAAGTCTTCAGCTCCGGATAATCTTCTGAGTCTTGATGCACTGGAGAACGCTGGATGGTCGTTGAAGACAGCTCGACGTGATTCACAACCTGACAAAAGGTCGTCTACAGCTACTGTTTGTGAAGTCTCGTGGTAGATACCGCTTAAAGACAACTGCTAGTGCAGTTTATCATGTTCCAGCAGTGAGCCAGCGTGACCGTAGAGAAGCTGCAACGTCGCTTATACGTTGGCATCTCCGGTTTGCACATCTAAACCTCCCAGCTCTACAGCAAATGGCAAAACAGCAAGTTACAACCGGAATGAAAGAGAACTTGAATGATGATGCTGAAATTCCTTGTTGGAGTTGCAAGTCGGCGAAGATGACTCGGATGTCATACAAGAAGACCTTGACTCGCCGTGCTACCAAGCCTTATCAGAAGCTGATGTCTGATATGTGTTACGTTGGTATTGCGACCTATGATGGATACATGCACTTCCAACTGGTGCAAGATGAGGCCACGCGATATCTTTGGGGCTTCTTGCTAAAGAGGAAGGAAGATGCAACTGAAGCAGGTATAGCTCACGTGAATTGGCTTTTGTCTCAAGGACACAAGATACAAGTGTTTAATTCAGATCAAGGCCGTGAACTCCTGAACAAGAAGCTGCGTTTGTTTCTTCATAGTCATGGTGTCGAGTACACATGGACCAATGCTTACAGTCCGGAGGAGAACGGATTGGTGGAGAGAATGAACGGAGTTATTATGGCGAGAGTGCGTTGTCTACTTACAACTGCAGATATGCCGTATCTCTTGTGGGGTGAAGCCTTCAGCTTTTTAGAGCCTTCAGCTTTGCGATTGAAGTGGGTAACATTTGTGCTTCGAGTGCTTTGAATGGAGAGACGCCATACTTTCGACGCTTTGAAGAGCGGCCGGATGTATCTGCGTTGCGTACATGGGGTTGTTTGACTTACGTTTTCACACCAAAGGTGCTTCGTATGTCGAAACTGGAGAATCCTGGCAAACCTGCATTGTTCATGGGGTACGCCAAGCACTCAGAAAGTTATCGTGTATTGAGTTTGGTAACTGGTAATATTCAAGAGGTTCGTTCTGTGGACTTTCATGAAGACTGGACGGTGGAACGCAGCTACGTAGAAGGCTTGCTAAACAATCGCTACAATAAAGGGCATCAAGTGCTACCAGCGATTATTCCATTTGTCCGTTTACCAGTGCTGTCGTCTACGACGGAAGATATGTCGATCCACGATGAAGTTCGTACAAAACGACGCCATTGCGATGGTGGTATTGGTGATACTAATTCTCATTACACTGAGGTGCGGTCTTCTCCGACATGTCTAGGTGCGCCTGACAGGCTGCGGTTGATTGAGGCTGAGATGTTTCCTGTTGCGACAGGAGATCAGTTATTACAGCGTGAAGCTAACCCTTCTCGTGTAAAGTGGACTGATAGTGAAGGTCAAGAAGGTGATACAGACATGAATTTGCCTAACAGCGATTCAGTGGCTGAGCCTCCTGTGGCTTCACACACATCACCTTCAGTGGGGAAAGAGAGGGTAGTCACTGATGCAGACGTTGAGTATGATGATATGGAGGACAAGGAACCAATTGCGATTGGTGATCCGTCTAGTCCAGTGGATAAAGTTGATGATGCGATCAGAGACAGCGAGAGTGAAGATGATGTTATGATGAATGACACAACGGAGTCGTTTCGGCGCTCACATCGCACTCGCTGGCCTAGCTCACGCTACAAGGACTTTGAAGTGGAGCTTCCACTCAGTTTGATGATTGAGGCCGTTAACTCAATTATGGAACCACAAACGCTGGAAGAAGCGTTGTCTGCTCCTGATGCAGATCAGTGGATCCAAGCACTGAAGAAAGAATATGGAGACCTGATGAGAAATAATACTTGGGAACTAGTGGAGAGACCAAAGGGCAAGAAGGTGTTGACAAGTCGATGGGTGTTTGTGCGAAAACGCGATGCTCACGGAATGTTCGCCACCGTGCCAGAATCACTATCAAAGGGTGTCAACAACGATATGGGGTGAACTTCTGGGAGACATACTCTCCAGTTGTCGCACAAGAGGCTGTAAAGTTTATCCTACTATTGGCACTTCATTTGGGGCTCTCTTGTCGTCATGTGGACTTCGTGACAGCATTCTTGAATGGACCGATTGGTGACGTTGATATTTACATGGAAATGCCAGAATATTTTGATGATGGATCCGATCGAGTTTGTAAGTTGCTGAGGAGTTTATATGGATTGAAGCAGGCGCCAATGATATGGTACCAGACACTGGACAAGTATTTGAGGTCGCTAGGCTTTCGTCGATCGAAGATGGATGGAGGCATTTACGTTCGTTCAGTGGGAGGCAGCCCAATATTTGTGTCGGTTTATATCGATGATTTGATTATCGCTGGCACTGAGGAGAATATTGAGTTGGTGCTTCGAGAACTTCGAGCCAAGTTTAAGATTAAGGACTTGGGTCCTGTCAAAGATCTGTTGCATATGGAGATTTCATATGTTCCAGGTGATGTTTTGTGGATGTCTCAAAGTGGCTACATTGATAAGGTGCTGAAACGCTTTGGTATGGAAGATTGTCGGCCAGTGGCTACACCACAAGCTACAGGAAATTTACCTGATACTGTAGATGATGATGAACCTGGAGTTAACGATCCGAGTATACCCTATCGTGAGTTGGTAGGATCTCTTCAATACTTGGTGCAAGGCACTCGCCCTGAGCTAGCAAATGCTGTGCGAACTCTAGGGAAGTATTTGAATAGGTATACTAAGGAACACTTTGTGATGGCGAAACGAGTACTGCGTTACTTAGGAGGCACTCGTGACTATGGGCTTTTGTGGAAGAAACCTGCAAACTCGGATTTGCATTTCACAGCTTATGCTGATGCTGATCTTGGAAGTGAAAAAGATGATCGCAGATCGATCACAGGTTTTGTACTTCAGATGAATGGATGTACTTACGCCTATAAGAGCCACAAGCAGTCGATCACTCAGGATGACACATGCAGTGCTGAGTTCATTGCTGCTGCAGAATGTTCTGTGATGATTGTGTGGACCCATAATCTTTGCGAAGACCTCAAACTTTGTCGTCGTCGTCCAACTGTGCTGTTTCAAGACAATCAGTCGACGATTAAAGTTATTAAATCTACGAAGGGAAACTACAAAGTCAAAGGCGTGGATTTAAAGTATCACAAGGTGAAAGATCTCTATGAACGGGGTGACTTTGATGTACGTTACTGCCCTACGGCTGAAATGCTTGCAGATATTTTTACGAAACCACTTGGATCAACTCAATTACCAAGCTGCGCAAGCTATTGAATGTGGTACCGCTACCATTAATGGAGAGCGATGCTACTAAGGATGACTAAGCTTTCGTTATACGAGGATGGTAGAATGGCGGATCCCGAAGTGGGAGTGTGAAGATTGGCGTGTCGAGCTCCGCCTGATCACACAGTTCTGAGGAACTTGCTTCTACTGTTACGGTATAGTATACGTGGGACGATCGTATTTTTACGCGACAGTTAGTGTATACTGCGTGTATAAGAGAGAGGGGGTTGTCACCTTCGAGGTTTCCTCCTCTAATCCTTTTCCTTCTCTGTGGGCAACAAGCTCAAGTGTTCCTGCGTTTCCTTCTCTTGTCTCGCGTTCAGCTCTACACTACTGCGGTACCCTGCTACCGCTAGCGACTCCACCAGACATTCCACCGGTAGTCACAGCTCCCGCAGTAGCTGTAGATACAACTCCAGAGACTCCACTCGTCACACATGACACAACTTGTGTAGACGTAGCTGAAGTTACCGGTATCTGTGACGTCGAGGCTTCAGCAGAGGTCATCAACGACGTAGCAGTAGCGATCGAAGGAACGGCAGTTCCCGTTGCAGAACTTGAACTCGGAAGCGACGTACTGGACAATCTCGACTGTGATGGACTCAACGTTCTCGATCAACTCCACACGTAAGCTTAGGATTTTCAGAGGCACGGTAAAACAGGAGTGTAGAGGCTGAATTCTTGGACACTAGAAATGAACCTACGAACGACTTGAGCATATTGCTCCATAACACCGATGTGGATTCTGAGGAGAGTAACCACGTACCTTTAACACCC